TGCTTCATGAGGGGTTTGGTGTCTATGACTTGTTCGAACACAACTGTGAGGTTTTCACATTGTACTGCAAGACGGGCTTTCTCGTTTGCCGTGAGAGCCCGCAAGAAGCCGTGGGGTCCAGTGGGCAGGCTGTGACTGGTATTGGTATCCCTTTGTCTGGGGCTCTTTGGTTTCTCCTTAAATGTCTGGTTTCAAGTCCAGCTGGTAGGGTCACAGCAACAGCCGTGACTTACTCGTATAGTAGGTACGCGGTTGACATTGGAGTGAGGTCTGATAAGGTCGAGGTGAAGGTTGAGGACATAGTGTCGTTTTTGCGTGGCCACAAGATGAAGAGCCTGAAAGCAGTAGAAGTTGTAAGATGAGACCAATAACTTGGTTCATTTTGCTTTTTGTTTTTTGTTTTTTTCGTGAAGCGAGCATATTTTTGAACCATTATCTGAAGAACATGTTGGTTTCAGGCATTTGAGTTTGAGACCACTTGAAATTACAATTGTGCGCCTGCAATTCATGTTTTCCCCTCCACCCCGCCATTTTTCTCTACTTTGGTTGTGGTTGTGGATAAGGATTTGAGATGGGTGGAGGATTCTATTGATTATTAAATTTTGGATGAATATTTATGTTACGGTTGTTTGTTGTTTGAATTGATGTGTATATATCAAATTAATAATTGCTAAAACGTTCCCATAGTTTGATAGTTTGTTAATATATAGACAGGGATGTAAATGGGTCGGGTTGGGTTGGGGTTTTAACAAATCTAAACCCGGCCCGTTACTCGGTTATTGATCTTCGGCTTCGGGTCAGGTTTTATCGACAGGTAATTGGGTCTTCGTCGGGTAAACGGGCAACTCGAATTCTTAAATTCGAGTTTTACCTCGTCTTCAATTCGGACTAGATCCGTTTCATATGTAAAAAAAATAATAATTTCACAATGTAACTAATAATTTATTAATTAAGTTTGAAGATTGTTGATAAACGGATTTGATCAACTTTTTTATATTTATATTTATTAGGTTAACAGCGTAATGAGACGATTTTATTGAATAATTGGGAATTATCTAGGAAAATATCAAGTCGGTATTTCGCGGACTTGAGGTCGATTTTTCTTGTACAATAATGCTAAAATTGGCCATAGCCGAGGTGATTAATGCAGAATTTATGTGTCGGGAAAAAGATCCTCGTATTGCCTTTATTGCTGCTATTTATAGTAACTGGGGGCCCATCTTTTGAGGAGATTCGGCGGCATTTAATGAGGAATGACATCTGCGCAGCTTTTCCTGTCAGTGGGGCCCCCTCACGCAATGATGTCTCCACATGGGCTCTGAACAGTCGATGGTACTCGCATTAAATGCTGCCTGTCTGCTCCGACGTCGGCCTGCGCCCGAGGTTACTTCGCTCAGGAGGTCGGCTTCCAGACAAGGTCGGCTTCCTAATGAGGTCGGCCCCCCACAGGTCGGGCAACGTTTTCTCGGCACTTTTCGGCTTGCCCCCTTTACTATCTTGTCGTCCACGTGTCGGCCATCCAACGCTTGAGCAGATTTTTAGGTCAACATTAAGGCCCCTGACATTGAGGGGGGCTTATACTTAAGCCCGCCTTAATGTCATTCCTGGTGTATATCTGTACCTCCTCTGTCTGAATCTCAACCGACCTGTTATACTTAGCCAAAAAACGCGATTCTTCCCGTCTGGCGGTTCATGGACTTTCCAATATGGCGCGTGATGACACGACTCGACGCGCTTACCTTCTTCTAACTTTAAGCGGTTTCAACCTTTCTTTGCACGTTCCCACGATCTCTGACAGTCTTCACACGTGGCAGTCCCGTATTGGTCCGCGTGTTTCCGTTGAGACAAGACAGAGCGTCCCTATCCTTTAAGGTGGCGGTTCGCGAATCGCCGGTTATCTTTGTAACGGTTACATCTTCTGAGTATAAATACTTCTCCTTTTCCCTTTCCTTGAATCATACAACCTTCTCTCTGCCTGACACTTTGCTTTCGATTTCATCTTTTCCTCTACTCTCACGGTCATCGTTCCCGGCGTCCCTGACCCCGCCGTGTGCTTTTGGTAAGTCTTTTCACCTTCTTTTCCTTCCGTCCTTCAATTAGTTAGCACGTTTTCCTTTTTATTTTCGCTTTGAGTTTATCGACCGCCGGGAAGAATGGCGGAACGGGCGGCAGAAAGCAGTAGCCG